TTATTATTGTTATTATTTAAAAAAAAAAATTATCAGTCCTCAGATAATTTTTGTATCATATATATTACAGTTATATTATTATAAAAAAAATTTTATTTAAAAATTCCACATAGAAAAATTGAAAAAAATTTTTTTCAAGTATTTTTATTATTGTAATTGATTTGTAATAAGAATTTTAAAAATTGACAATTGTCAGCTCACTTCTGCCTCATTATATATGTAAAACTGAAGTTGACAGACATTAAAAAAATTTTTTTACAATTTTACAATAATTAAATTGTTAAGAAAAAAATTTAATTTGAAAATTCCACATAGGAAAATTGAAAAAAAATTTTTTTTATGATTTTTGTTATTATAATTATTTAAAAAAATATCAGTCATCAGATAACTTCTGTATCATATATATAATAGACAGAAAAAAATTTTTTTGCAATTTTACAGCTATGATATTGTGATGAAAAAAATTTAATTTAAAAATTACACGTGTGAAAATTAAAAAAATTTTTTTTTTAGTATTTTTATTATTGTAATTGATTTGTAATAAGAATTTTAACCATTGACAGTTGTCAGCTAACTTCTGTGTCATATATGTGAAACTGAAGTTGACAGACATTAAAAAAATTTTTTTACAATTTTACAATAATTAAATTGTTAAAAAAAAAATTTTATTTAAAAATTCCACATGTGAAAATTAAAAAAAATTATTAGCAGAATTTTTTAAAAGTATTTTTATTATTATTATAAGAATAATACTGAAATTGAAAGACATTTGATAATTTTTCAACTAATAAATTATAGTTAAAAAATATATTTAACTTCTTTAGATCTAAAAAATTTTGAATTTTTTAAAAATAATTCATTTAAAAAAAAAATGAAAATAATTATCAAATGTCTGCTACGTTTAATAATTGATAAGAATTCAAAAAATTGACAGTTGTCACCCAACTTCTGTATCATATATATATATATATATATATATATACTACCAAGTACATAGTTAGTACCTGGACCTACTGTCCAGTCAATTTTTGGTACTCCAAAAAAAAAAAAAATATAATCATTTTTTCTCACCCTAAAAATTAAATTTTAATTAATTTTTGCAAAATTATTAAAAATAAATTTAAAAATAATTTGAGATTATAAAATACATCTAAAGAAATTTTCTAAATACCAGATACTGATGAAGATGAAGATGAAGATAAAGATGAAGATGAGGTTAAATGGTAGAGTAATTATCAGTAAGATAATTTGAATGAAATTGCATTAAGCTGAGATGAAGATGAGGTCAATAAGATTTTGATTTGAGAACCTCAGCGTGCACCCAGCTGAGCATCCACGGGCCAGGCGCAAATAGAGGAAGTGGCAACAGCGCAGCGCTCGACTGACACGCGCATCGACGTCGTGTGTGCTATGCGCGGCAATGTGCTTCTCTCAACTCACATACATATGTAGTTATCCGCTCTCCACTCTCTCTACGCTCTATAATATAATACCTTTACATACACATACATACGTAATATACTTTTCATTTGTATCAAGCATACTGCGCACACGCTGCGCGGTCCACGCGACACCAGACTCTATTGGGCATTTAATTGCATTATTTACAACATGACAAACTTATATCACCTAATTACTTTTTTATAATGTTATTGTTACCGATGTTTTTCTTTAATTGATACTTTTATTTATCAATGTTTATATTATTTAATTCATAATTTTTACTGCAAGCCTTAGTTATTATTTATAATAAATTGTAATTGTATTTATAAATATTGAATATTTTTTTTTCATTGGCAATAGGTATGTCAAGTGCTATTGGATGCGTCATTCAAGTGGAATTCAACGACCCTCTTAATCATTGTAACTACTAGGTTTATTTTTGTAAAATTTTATTTTGTATTTAATTTTTTAGTTAGAATTAATTAATTATTTTATCATTTTTTTTTATTTTAAATTAAATTATTTTTTATAAAATTATCTATATTATTGAGATAATAAGAAACATTTTGTTTCTAGGATAGTTATATGATAAAATCGGATTTTTTAGTGAAATTTAGTGTCATTGCAAAGGTCTTGATTTGAATTTGTACATTTTCAAGGTTTTATTTCATTCTTACTGATGGATAATTTATTATGATAAGTATTTAGGTTGCATTGGAAAATTCTCTATTTCTAGATACATAATTGAGAAACGACCTTGTATCTTGTGAACTATTGACATTTTTAGAGATATAAGCTCATCCTGATGTTGCTCCCATCGAGACCTTTAATTTGAGTACCCACATCAATTTTTCATATATTTTAAATATTATATATATATATATATATATATATATATATATATATATAAAGCTCTTGATGAGTGTAACATCAAGATGAGCTTATATCTTTAAAAACTTAAATATTTAAGAAAGTACAGTGCAATTTAACAAATATCTTGTAAAATATTGACATTTTTAAAGATATAAGCTCATCCTGATGTTACACTCATCGAGGCCTTTCATTTAAGTACCCACATCAATTTTCCATATATTATATATATATATATATATGTATATATGACAAATATATCAAACATGCAAGTAGGTACTCAAATGAAAGCTCTTGATAAGTGTAACATCAGGATGAGCTTATATCTTTAAAAATGTCAATATTTAAGAAAGTACAGTGTATTTTAACAAATACCTTGAGAAATATTGACATTTTTCAAGATATAAACTCACTCTGACATTACACTCATCGAGATCTTTCATTTGAATATCCACATCAATTTTTCATATATTTTATATATTTATATATATGTATATATGAAAAATATATCAAAAATGCATGTGGGTATTCAAATGAAAGCTCTTGATGAGTGTAACATCAGGATGAGCTTATATCTTTAGAAAGGTCAATAGTTATGAAAGTACCGTGTAATTTAATAAAATTCATTATTTAATGAAGCAAAATTTTAATTTTTTATAGTTTAGAAATCATGGCAGTCACATAGTGACTGCAAAGTTGCTAGTTACCATTATTATTATTAAAAATAAATTTATTTCATCTGGATCTGAATTCTGAAGAAACAAAAATGAAAAATTTGGAGCTAATAAAATATGAAGCTGCTGAGATAAAAAGTTACTAAAAGTGAGAAATAAAAAAAAACAGTACCGATAAATAAATAAATAAATAAATAAATAGATTGTATTGAGATTAAGAGGAATAAAAAAACTTTGATCGTTGCGATGTTTTAAAATTCACCTTGAGTGATATGACGACAAGTTAAGTTTATTGTGCGATATAATATGACCGGATGAGTAGAGAGGAATAGAGAAACTAAACTCCATGTGTGATGTTTAGTGTGTGTTTAATATATCACGTGGTACTGGAGTTCATTTTCATTGGATCATTTCTATTCCAGTCGTCAATATTTCCCATACCACGGTGTGCTCTCGCGTTTTATTTATATATACAATCTACAACGTGATGATTAATAACCTTAACGTCACTCATGCTCTACACTTACTTACTTGTACTAGTATTTTGTATTATATTATATTAATGTACTGGCTGTATGGTAATGTTGTTAATATTGTATTACTAACGCGTATTTTATTCAGATCAACATTTACTTAAACGTTTATTTGTTATTTTTAAATAGTTATTATTAAGTCATTGGTTTTAGGATGGATAAATATTGTAATTTACCGTGTAAATAGATGCTTAAAGATTCCTTTTGGGTCCATCACTCCGTTTCGCTGTGGGTGGTCGAAACCTATTGGCTCACATTTTTTAAGTACAAATAACTCTGTAGTTTTTTTCATTCATCATTGATACTTTTTTTTTTTTTAAATGGTTAAGATCGAAAACTTAAATTTTTTTTTAACACAAAAATTAGTATAGTAAGTTTTTTTTTCGAATTCATAAAAAATTTTTAAAAACGATTATTAGTAATTTGAATATTTAAATTTTTTTTAAAAATTTTATAAGATATAAAATATAAGCTCATCCCGATGTTACACTCATTGAAAGCTTTCATTTGAGTACCCACATGCATTTTTGATATATTTTTCATATATACATATTTATAGTATACATAAATATATAAAATATATAAAAAATTGATGTGGGTACTCAAATGAAAGGTCTCGATGAGTGTAACTCCAGGACGAGCTTATATCGTTAAAAATATCATCAGTAAACAGAGTACAACCTCATTGCTTTATTATTCACATTTTTAAAGATATAAGCTCATCCTGATGTTACACTCATCAAGTGCTTTCATTTGAGTACCCACATGCATTTTTGATATATTTTCCATATATACATATATATAAAATATATAAATATATAAAAAATTGAAGGGGGTCACTCAAATGAAAGGTCTCGATGAGTGTAACATCAGGATGAGCTTAGATCTTCAAAAATGTAAATATTTCACAAGATACAAGGTCATTTCTTAATTTTGTATCTAGAGCATTTTTGAATGCAGCCTAAATACTTAACATTATAAATTGACTATTGAGGAAAATGATATGAAACCATGAAAAGGCATAACTTCAGGTCAAGACTTTTCCAACGATATCAGATTTAACCGTAAAAACCCATTTTATCATATAAATACACTGACCAGAAATTTTTGTTTATTCTTTTAATGATATAGATAGTAATAATAATAAGAAAATTTTTGAAGTCACTATTATTATTATTATTATTAAAAAAATTAATAAATAATGATTTTAAAAATAGTAATAATAAATTTTATATACCTACATACACAATTTAGCTGCAATGAAATATCAAATAAATCAACTATAAACTATAAGTATATAAATGAGAGCATGTTCTTGTTAGAGTAATTTTTACTAGTCGTAAATTACTGGTGGGCGTTGGGCTAATGGATTGTAATGCGAACAGTCGGGAGAATCTTCATCACGTTAAGTACAAATATTATGGACCGAAATATATTCAATGCTTAACATTAACAGTAATTATTATTACTGAAGTTTTAATTAAAATTCACACTAATATATATTCATATAAATATATATATATATATATATATCGCTGTATTTCAATTAATAACTCCAGATTTTTTTCACTTTCATTGATAATTATTACTGCGCTCTAATAAATTGTAAATCAAAGCGCTTTTATATTAGTTAAATAAAATATTGTAGGAAAATTTTCAAATTTCCGGTAATAAATATTAAGATAAATTTGTTTGGATTAAAAGTAGCTTTCGGGGAACAAATTTTTTTACTACTATTTTATGAGTTCTTGTTTTTGAATGACGAGTCAAATACTATGCCTATACCTAGATCCTTTTATAAGTATTTCGATATTTATTTTTTTTGTGTGTAAAAGTTGTAAACTTTTAGATTTATTAATGTTTAATTATTTCCTAGCTCTTAAAGAAGACAATGGCAATCTTTATACCACTGATATTTTTAAGAGTACTGATAAATGATCAAAGAAATTAATTTAATATTTTTTCTCAGATATTTTGAATTAAAATTAGCAGGCATTTGATAAATTTCAATATTTTTCAAAAAAAATATCAAGAATTCGCATTAAAAATTTCTTTATGAATTTTTTATCTTTTTTTTCTGATCAATTTTCGCGCCAATTTCAATAATTCCTGAGTACCCTCACTGCTAAAAAATTTAGTTTGACTCAAGAGCAAGAATCGTGAATCAAAAACACCATTTTGAAGAAAAGTAAATTATTGAGTCAAGAAAAAAAATTCTTAAATCAAGAAAATTTTCTTGAACCAAAAATTTTTCCTCTTGACTCAAGAAATTCTTTTTTTTTTTTTTTTTAAGATGGTATTTTTGGTTCAAGATTCTTGCTCTTGAGTCAAGTTAAATTTTTTTCAGTGCTTTATAAAGCGACTGCAGTCGCTTGAACAATTTGGTAGCTCAATTTTAAAACACAGTAACTGCAAAATTTTTGTACTTGATATTTTATGACATTAAAGTTAGCTGTCACACAAAAAAATTTATTCCAAAAAATTATTTTTAAAAAATTGCAGTTTCAATTTCTAGACGTCAATTTTTTTGCCATAATTTATTTTTTATAAAATTCTTAAAAATATGCTAAATTAATTTTCATGATTTTCTCTAAATATTGCTTGCATTTTTCATAACTTTTAGACCTTAATTTCAAGTATTTTTTCTTTTAAATATTTATATTCAAGTATACAAGTATTTTCTATTCACAAATCAAATTTTTATCAATTTGGCGGGCACTTGAATTTTTTTTTAATAAGAAAAATTGAAAAAAATTTTTAAATGTTAGTTACTGTGTTTTGAAATTGGGCAGCCGTAATTTCACCTGCTAAATAAAAACCAAAGATACAATTCAACCAAAAAAAAAAAAAAAAAAAACGTACCACATGAATACTGGAAAGACCCACAGCCTCATTGGGTTTCTTATCAGCCTTAGTCTTGGCCTGCCTCTGCTTAGACTTATTAGACTCTTGAATCTTCTGCTTGAGGACCTGCATGTCCTGGTTATGCTGCTCACAGACACCATTAAAACACTGATGAAACCTAGGAATACACTCAGTCTGATGTTTACGGTATCCGTCCATCCTCCTCTTGAGTCTATCAACAACGCTCTGTTTTTTTGAGGGTAGAACCTCACCAATCCCAGGTGCCTGACCCATTTGTTGGTGTATCAGCAACTGCTGCTGACTCGTCAAACTCAACTGACCGGACTGTGTTCCCGCGATATTAAGCTGATGCTGCTGCTGCTGTTGCTGCTGGTGGTCCAGACCCGGGTTTATAGGGGAGTGATTAGCACCACGACGATTAGGAACACCCGCGCAAATAGTCAAGTTACCAGGGCCGGTGCCCGAGCCGGGGGGGCCTTGCGAAGGCTGATGGGGCAGGAGCCCCCCGGCCTCCATACAGCCCCCTAAATCCACCGCAGAGTTTCAACCCAGTTCAATAAATAACTGCTGATTTTTTTTCACTAACACACAATTCAATTTTACTTAAAATATTATTTATTGTACTGTTTTTCTTGATATCACAAAACCTCGTTATTATATCTTCACCTTCACCCCCTTCACCTTCTTCTTCTTCTTCCTCTTCTTCCGCTCGTCTTTTCAGCATCCTCTCACACGCGTACCCGATTAATTTCCTGTCAGCTGACATCTGCAGGCATTCATTCATCAGCTATAGCCTTTATTACTATTGTATTTTACTTTATCATTTTTTTTTTTTTTAATTATCATTTATTAATTTATTAATTATTAAATAACAATATTAATAATAATAATTATTATTATTATAACAATAATAATTGATTTTACGCAAAGTTTTAATTTGTTTATAAAAAGAATTTTTAAACTCACATATTTAACCAAAACTATAACTAAAAATTAGTCATAAACATTTAAGAGAAATAAATACAGTACTTCTCTCGATAAGAGTTGCCGCGCGACTAACAAGTAGTGGGGAATGTGACCGGCTTCACGGCCTTTCGCTTTATCGTCTCAAGAAATAACGATACACTATTTTTTTAATTTAAATCCGATCATCACTTAAATACTACAACTTCACTTCACTCACTAGTCACTAACACAGTCGATAATAAATAAACTGTCATTGTTTTTTTCAATAATACTAAAGTTAGCTAATGTTTCTAATTTTTTTTATTAAATTGAAAAAAAATATTTTTTAAAAATTGCACTTGTAGTTTTTAAAATTTTTTTTAATAAAAAAAATTATTAAAATTTTCATGATACTAAAGTTAGCCGACGTTAATTTATTTTTTTTAATAATTAAATTAAAACGAAAAAATATTTTTAAAAAATTTCACTTATAATTTTTCAAGTTTTTTACAAGTGACATTTTTTTTTTTATTAATTTTTTCAATAAAAATAATTCTAAAAATTTTTAAATGCCAGCTAACTTAATTTTCAAGTTTTTTACTAATGAAAATTTTTTTGTAATAAAAAAAATTATTAAAATTTTTAAATGTCAACTAATTTAATTTTCATATTTTTTCACACCACTAACTTGCAACAATCCAAACAATCCTTGTTTGTTTTTTTTTTAATCTTCAATTATCAGCACTTGATAAATATTAATTTAATTTAGGTAAATTTTGTTAAAGCTGAGACATAGTAATTGTGACTTACTGAGTTTTAACAACAGGTAGTTGTCCGCGACAGCGTGTTGACGCTCGTGAGTTAAAAAAAAAAAAAAAGATGGAGAGAGTTTTATAAAACGGCAGCATACCAATTGGTAGAATGGAGATAGAGATGGACGATGCTTCGTGATTCGTGATGCTCTCAAGTATACAATGGAAGGAAGGGATAGAAAAACGGGATTCTTCTCTATCCTAACTTTCTGATCATTCTTTAACAATTCTCAGCTCAACGTTTAAATATTCTTTACTTTCAATTATTATTTCAAATATTTTTCTTCACTTTTAATTTTTTAAAACTCAAATTTTTAATTAAAAATATTCTTAAATATTTTTTTTATTAATTTTTTTCTTCACTTTTAATTATTTAAAACTCAAATTTTTAATTAAAAATATTTTCAAATATTTTTAATAATAATAATAATAATTATTATTATTATTTAGCTGCATAAAAACGTTACTAAAAAATTTGAATCTCAATCTAGAGAGCGACATGTCAATGCCAGGATTGTTTTGCAAGAATGTCCGCGCTTTTATAAACAACAATTACATAACCTCACTTTTAATTCACAATATTATTTTCACACTCACTATTATTAATTTAATTAAAAATAATAATATAAAATATTTAAATAAAAACACACACCTGAAGAGAGCGAGGTCACAATATTACTGTAGAGTTTATTAAATGTTTTAAATATAATTTAAAAACAACCGGATATTATTATTTGGAGGCACGGGGCCATTCATCAGACAACCAAAGTGCGCGTGGGTATCTGATTTCGAGGCATATGTTATTTAAACGGTCAATCATCGTCAACATAAACATCAACATTAATATCAAGAGTTCTATCACCACACACTATCAAGTATAAGCACAGTGCACTGGCGTATTTGTGTTACAGTACTATACAGAGTGACACAGAGTATTAGAGTAAGAGTATAGAGTACCGACAGGACACAGGTATAGTATAGAGTATATATAAATATATACTTGGTATATAATAGTTGGCAGTAACTGACTTGCGCTTGCTGGTTGCTAGATGCTGGTGCTCAGCTAAGCCAATAAACTGTCTTCGGTTTGTCAGTTTTATCCAGCTGCTCTTTATACTATTTATTGGTGGTAGTACCACTCTTCACTCTAATCCCAGTCTATTGGTACATTCATATTTATACATACCTTTGGAGAAAGTTCGGTTGATTCAAAAGTTTTAGCTACCGCCATCTGTTATGTGGCGCGCTATTTAGTTTCTGTTTTTTTTTTAAATCGTTTTTGTTATTGCTAAGATCTGAAGTTAACTGACAGCTGTCATTTTTTTTATTTTTATGATAAATTAATTACAAAAAAATGTTTTTAACAATTTATAATTAATTTTTTATAATACTAAAGTATGAAAATTAATTTAGCAGATATTTATTGAATTTTAATAATTTTTTAAAAAATAAATTAAGGTAATAAATATGAAAAAAAGATTGACATGTAGAAATTTAAAAAAATTATAAATGCAATTTTTTTTTAATTGTTTGTTAAAAAAAATTACTAAATTACTGCTAACTTTAATGTAATTACTAAAGTTAGCCGTTTTTAATTTTTCGATTTTTTTTAAATAATTAAATTAGAACAAACAAATATTTTTTGAAAATTGCATTTACATTTTTGGAAGTTTCTTCGAATTGAAATTTGTTTTTTATTTTTTTATAATTTTTTTAATAAAAAAAATTTTTTTAATTTTCAAATGGCTAACTTGATTTTTTTATTAATTTTATTTTTTTTATTTCACTGCTATAAAATTATTAAAAAATTTATAACACTAAAGTTAGCCGACGTTTTTAATTTTTTCGTTTTTTATAATAATTAAATTAGAAAAAAATTGCACTCACAATTTTTAAAGTTTTTTACAATTGAAATTTTTTTTTATATTTTTTTAATAACTTTTTCAATAAAAAAAAAAACAAAAATTATCAGATGTCTGCTAATAAATTTATTTTCATAATTTTTTCAAACACTCTTATCCTTGAGCTTATATTTTTTTTTTTTCTAGATGAATCGAATAAATGAAATTTTTGAGAAAGATAAAAGCTTACCAATCATCAGCGAGGAAGATAAAATTGAACTCATGATAGAACATTTTCTGTCAACGGGACCACCGGTGATAAAAAACAAAAGGAAGGATGCGTCGAGAGCGTTGGAATTGATTAAATCAGCCAATGACTCATTCAAATTAATGCGATCAATGTATTTGATAACAATGTACACCGAAGCAATAATGAACGCGCCGATAGGTTCACCAGAGCTAGCCCGCGGATTCGCGAGCCGCTCAGCTGCTTTGTGCAACGCACGACTGTTCGAAGATTCGTTGAAAGACATCGACCGTGCGATGGCCATCGGTTACCCTGATCACCTGAAAGGCGCGTTGTACCTGCGTCGTGCTAAGAACTTGCTATCACTGGACCCAAAGATGCGCCCAGAAGTTCAAGAAGCTATCGCGGAAGCGCGTCGTTTGATGGACAAAGTCGACGTCGACAGTGAAAAGAAGATTGACAAAGCGCTGAAGAAACTTCGACAGAAGGATTCGTTCAGTGAGCCTTATAAGAAGTGGGACTCGCATAAGTTTCTTCCTCCAGTACCTAATGATAACCCACTGATACCTCGAGCTTCAGGAGGAATCGCTTTGAATTATAATGAAAGAATGAATATTTAATCGTAAAAAAAAGAAAACAATGTATTATTTTTTATACTAATTTATATACATATATACCATTTGTTTTTAATAAGAACAATCTGTATTAATAATAATTTTCACCCACGCTTTTTTTTAGAAACATTCATGCTACAATTTATTCAATTTCGGACAAAAATATGGCTATAAATGTTATTTATTAATCGCCGATTGCATTATTAATATCAATATTATTAATAATATATATATATATATATAATATATAAATTTATCAATTAATATTATAGTTATTGAAAACGTGTCATCTGCCAGTCTTAAAAACATTTGAGCTGCATTTCATTCAAAATTATTTGATTACAATTTAATATTTATCAATTCGTCTAAAAATTTATTCTACAAAATCACATTCTTACATTTGCTCAAATTTTTAACCTTTGTCACAATAATATAATTTATACGTAAACATCTCTAAACTCATTAGCATTAGTCATTACCAAATTGTCCTTATTATTCGTAATTGATAATACAAACGCCGATAAACTATCATTCTCAATATTACACTTTATCTACCTTGTTCATCATTATAGACTAGAAGTTTGCTTACATACAAACAGAAAAAAATGAAACTTTAATTATTAAAACTTTAATAATTACGATGTAAATAAAAAATAATATATAATTATAATTATAATCATGTATTCAGTATTATTCACTGAATTCAATTACCATTGTATAAACATTTTTTTTTATAATTCAATATACCGTTAATGGTACATTTTTAACATAAACAATAATGACGTCAATGTAGATCAATGGTAATTCACCTCATTAAGTCAAAAACCTCTAAAACATATGTGTGTTATTAAAATATCTAAAGAAAATTTTAGTCAACATACATCATCATTATTATAATTATAATAATCAGGTTGTATATATCATAAACATATTAATTAAATAAAAAAATTATTTTCAAAAATTTTTTTTTTAATATAAAAAATTAAATATTTTATTCAAACTTTTTACTGTCTTAAAGATAAAGTCCTCGGAAAAAAGATGCGTCCGCGTGGACAGCAAAACTCCTAGTAGAATTATTTGAAGTGAGAAAAAAAAAATATGTGCTTTAGTTAAGACTTCAAACTAGGTCTTGAACGAAGGAAAAAAAAAAAGAAATTAAAATTGGATTTTTGGTAGAGGTTTTTACAAAAAAAATTAAAAATTTCGCATTTTTTTTTTTGTAAATAGTTGTAATTGAAAAAAAAAAAAAAATCCTTCGTTCAAGACCTTGAAAATTATATCTTGAAGTGTAACCTTTTGAGCTTCAATAATACTTCAATTTTTTATAAAAAAATTTTTCATGTGAATTGAAAATGTTTTGATTAAATTTTGTAATTTTTTTTATACACGGACAGAATAATCTTAATATCATCCCAAACTATACTGAGTGAAAAAAATTTCAGATAGTAGCTAGTATAATCTAGATTACAATGAGTATAATCCAGATATCACCCAGTATAATTTATTTATTTAATGTATGTATTTTTAGATTGCCTAGAAGTCGTAACATCTGACGAAAAGTAGCAATAAATTGTGAATTAATTATCAACATTGCGTTTGTGATCTGATCAACCTGATTATTATAATTATATTCCCTTGGACCTGATTAAAACAATTATGAATGATACATTATCATTATAATTACATTAATATTGTTAAATATTGGGCAAGAATAATTAATATATAAAAAAAAAAGTAACTACTGTTATAAAATTTAATTTTTGACTCCCAATTGGACGTTCGATGTTTGTCACTAATTTTAAAATTAATTTAATCTCAATTACATACAATTACTTATTTAATGTCCGGCCTATATAATTCCCAGTAAAAAAAGAAACTTAAAAATAAAAAATAAATATATAAAAAATACATAATAAAAATTACTAAATTTTGAATACTATGAAAAAAAAATAATTCACACTAATTGTATCATTTGATTAATATATATATTATAAATATATAATATATATACAGAGCGCGTTATAAAAAGTACAAGTTTTAAATGTTGGAAAAAATGCGTCGCTTATTCTAAACATTTGTTATTTTTTTTTAATCAATTAATTAATTAACTATTTATAATTGATTACAATCATTCATTGATATACATTAGGTGTCAACATAAATGTTAATTAATATTAATAATATTTACGAATTGGACAAGAAGTATCAGATATTTAAATTTACTTTCTCATTTGCTTAGTCATTCACACTATTTATTTATATTCATATTTATATATTTATATTTATATATATTTATAAAAATGATAAGATCGTTTAATCACGGGCATACCTTAAAGCTAGAAATAATAATAATTATAAGAATCTCATTAGATTTAATATAATAAAAATAAAAATATTAAATAAAACCAAGTACAATTTTAAATAATTATTAATTTTTAAATTTAAATCCACTACTGTACACTTGGCTTGTTCATTTTTTAGTTTGTTCGTTTTTGATTATCATTAACAATAAACCAATTTATTAATAATTAAAACACTAGTGTCGTACTATATTATACAATTTGATCTTTGACACTGGTATAATTCAATCAATACTACGAAATCAATAATAATATCTTGCCAATTTTTTAAATTTATTAATTAATTAATTTAAGGGGGAACACCAGTGTGACGGTAAAAAAAAAAGATGATTTTCGGGAATTTTATTGACCCAAATTGCTTTTTAATCAGTACGGAATTAAATAAATTTTGATTTTAAAGATTTTTTAAGCCGGGTTAAAACAAAAAAATAAACAGTAAAAATAATGAGAAAATTTTCAATCAGTCGGCATTTTTTTGAAAATTAAAATTTCAAAAATTCCGTACGTGCAACGATAATTACATTTTTACTGATTAAAAAGCCATACGGGATTTTATTTTCAGATGATCCGTTTTTGAATTATCGATGCGACCATAGAGGGGGAAATTTTTTCTAGTGCTCTTAGAGATTGTTAATAACTTTGTAATAATTAAATATTTTTTAATAAAAATTTAGGATAATAATATTTAATGTACCCTGAATAAAATTTAAAAAAATTTGTGAAAATCCAAAATTGCACGCCTCATAACGCTCATTCATTTTCTAAGAAAAAAGTAAATTGTGCAATTGATTTAAAAAAAAACAAAAAAAAAAATAATGATAATAATAATAATAATAGTAATAACAATTAAGTAATTTCTTACAGAGCATTTTTTATTTTTCGTTTTTAATATCGGCGCCCGTTTTTCTTGTCATATGCGCACGCAGTCTAAAAAAATTTAGCTTGATTAAGTGGCACCATAGTTTTCACGTGACAAATAAGAAAAATTTGTTTATTTCTGTACGTGTATCATAGTGACTTTTGATAAAAATTTAATTAAAAAAAAAAATACATAAACTAGGCTACTGACATTAAATACGGACCCAGCTTCGCGCTATGAGGCGTGCAAAATCACCTTTTTTTTTTTGACCATCACAGTGGTGTTCCCTCTTAATATTTGATAATTTATTTATAAATAATCAAAATTATGGAAGTGTTTAATAAAAAATAATAAAGCTAAAATTACAATAATTAAAAATAATAACGGCAGAGAAGACATATTAAGGCAGTCGGAGAGTAAAAAAAAATAAAATTAATCGATTGAACAAGCTCGGAAGCTCTTAGTAATATATATTAATGTCTATGTATTTGAATAATAAAATTAAAGAGGATGAAATAAAAAATATAAAAAAAAAGATTAGATTAAAGAGGAGCGTCCGGTTGAATATTTAATTCACCGGCGACATAATAACAAAATGTATTAGAGATGATCCCTGTGAATTGAATGCACAGACGGTGAATTTAAAATATTTGTGTATTACCTGTAGGTGTATTAACCGTTAAATACAAGTTGAATCGGGATGTTGACTGGCAGATTTACGGGTTTTTTTGGGCTCTTTTGTTGTTAACTCTTGCGAAGGCCTTCGAGGACTACCCAGTGTGACTAGAGCTGACGCAACAGCTAATCCAGCACTTTGCCCTGACGGCGTGTACGCCTCGCCGCCGGTTGGTAGTCTGACTAGCAGGGACAGAACTGCTGCTCTGTTTCCATTGCACGGCTCCAAAGCAATAGGACTGGGAGCATCCTGAATATTTGTTGTTAATTATTAAATTGAATTAAAAATTGCGTTTTGAAAAAAATTTACTCTTTAATTAAGAAATTACCTTGTATTTTGTGAAATATTAACATTTTTTAAGATATAAGCTCATCTTGATGTTACACTCATCAAAACCTTTCATTTGAGTACTCACATCAATTTTTCATATATTTGATATATTTATGTATATTACATATATGTATATATGAAAAATATATCAAAAATGCATGTGGGTACTCAAATGAAAGCTCTTGATAAGTGTAACATCAGAATGAGCTTATATCTTTAAAAAGGTCAATAGTAAAGAAAGTACAGTGAAATTTAACGAATACCTTGTAAAATATTGATATTTTTAAAGATATAAACTCATTCTGACATTACACTCATCGAGACCTTTCATTTGAGTACCTACATCAATTTTTCATATATTTATATGTATTATATATATGTATATATGACAAATATATCAAAAATGCATGTGGGTACTTAAATGAAAGCTCTTGAAGAGTGTAACATCAGAATGAACTTATATCTATAAAAACGTCAATATTTAAGAAAGTACAATGCAATTTAACAAAAGTCATTATTTAATAAAGCAAAATTTTATTCATTTTTAGTTCACAAGTCACGGAAGTCACATAGTGACTGCAAGGTTGTTAATTTTATTTAACAAACAAATTTATACTGAAAAATAATTTTTAAAAAATTGCATATACAATTTTTTTTTGTAATTTTAATGCCATAATTTGTTACAAAAATTGTCATTAATTTCCATTTTCTATATACGCCCTTTTGGCGTTAGAAATTATTTTTCTTAAAGCTAAAAAGGCAAATGTTGAAAAAAATGTTTTTTGCATTTCTCAACTAGATTTTTACTTTTATAAATTCCCAAATTTATTATAGAAAAAAAAAAGTTTATTAATAAAAAAAAAATTTCAAACAAACCTTTTTCTTCTTTTGACCATTATATGCATCTAAGTCATTGCGCTCGGGATCCGAAAGGACATCTCGCCTCTCAATTTCAACAAGAACTTGACTGAAAGCCCGGCTGGCCATCTGCTCCATTTCTACCAGCAGTCTCTGACGCCTCCGGTACATGTCGTACTTTTGTTTTATCTTCCACAGGACAGCAGCCACCAACAGCAAAGCAAGGAAGCACCTGTGCGGTGTCATGTAATCTCTAGTTTACAAGTTAGTACTGCCTCAGATTTATTATAATAAAAACTAATGCGAATGATCGGATGTGATGCGCGTCTTTACTTCAAATCTATCATCTATTATTAATTCTAATACTAATTATTCGCTAAACTAAATTAAAATTAAGCTATTGTAAATGCTGATGCCTTAAATAGTAAGTAATACCATTGATAATACTTACGTAGAAAATGTGATGAAAAATTGTTGTAAATTTAATTTAGAATATTGTGAAAATGATATTTGGATCCATAGTGGTGGTTGAAAATCGTAAACGTAAACGTAAAATGTCGTTTGCGTATTATTATCTTCATTTCCAAAATTATAGTCAGCCTTACTGAAACGATGTTTATACGTCGTACAATTGGCACCGAGAAGAAGTGGTTTTTCTGGACTATTGCCCTTTTTTATTGTTATGTTCATCTTGGCAAGTACCGAGCAAGTTATGGAAAATTCAGCGTCCACGTCAGGTTTAGATGGTGAATTTTTAAAATTTATCGCTCGATAGTGCCGGTCTTCCTTTTTACTCAAATTAAATGTAAATTGGTAATCTATAACAAGGTCATCTGCAAAGCAAATTTTATATCGTTTTTATATTATTGATGTATTACTAAAAGTAAATAAAATGTATTAGTCATTCCATATTTTTTTTTAAATTAATTAAAATCAAAGCTAAGGAAAATTTTAAGTTTTATCAATTTTTTGATAAATTTATTTATTTATCTATTAATACTTAAATTAAAATTCAAAATGACTGATGTTTTTATTTTTAACTACTACGATAGTTATATCGTAGTATTTTTTAAATATGTAATTTTTATAATTATTTGTAATTTAAGTGTATTTTTAAATTTTATTGTAATTTGAAATTTTTTATACATAATTAAGGAATGACCTTGTATCGTGTAAACTATTGACATTTTTAAAGATATAAGCTCATCTCGACATTACACTCACCAAGACCTTTCATTTGAGTACCCACATCAACTTCTCATATATTTATATATATTATATATATATGTATATATGAAAAATATATCAAAAATACATGTGGGTACTCAAATGAAAGCTCTTGATGAGTGTAATATCATAATGAGCTTATATTTTTAAAAAAGTCAATAGTTAAGAAGGTACAGTGCAATTTAATAAATATATATTGTGAAATATTGACATTTTTGAAGATATTAGCTCATTCTGAGATTGTACTCATCGAAACCTTTCATTTGAGTACCCAGATCAATTTTTTATATTTATATATATTATATATATATGTACATATATATAATATATCAAAAATGTATGTGGGTACTCAAATGAAAGCTCTTGATAAGTGTAACATCGGAATGAGCTTATATCTTCAAAAACGTCACCATTTAAGAAAGTACAGTGCAATTTAACAAATATCTTGTGAAATATTGATATTTTTAAATTTATAAGCTCATCTCGACATTACACTCATCGAGACCTTAAAATGCATGTAAAATGCATATCAAAAATGCATGTGGGTACTTAAATGAAAGCTCTCGATGAGTGTAACATCGTAATGAGCTTATATCTTTAAAAAAGTCAATAGTTAAGAACGTGCAGTGCAAATCCAAAAAAAACTTACAAAAGCAGGATCCCTTGGTCGGATCTCCATTATAGAGACTAGAAACATCACACCTTTCACAGTGATCTCCGATGATTCCTTTAGTAGTACAAAAGCATTTCCCAGTTTCACTAGTACACTCAGTCCCCTGATCATTACAAGAACAAGGCTGGCAAGTAGCGCCATTGAGAGGACTGCCATAGTACCCAGTCATACATTTATCACAATGAGCCCCTCGAGTTAAGTTCCCACACGGCTTGATGCACTCAGTGGTATTAGGATAGCACGTACTGTGCCCATTGCACTGGCAGCTCGGACACTTGGTGAAGTACCATCTATCAACCGGACAAGTGTCTTCAGAACTTCCCATCTTGGGCCCTCTGGCTCCTCCAGCGATGCACTTTCCCTTGCCAGTATTGGAGCCATCATCGCACCAACCACAGCCGGGGTCCGACCTGCAGCTCAAGCACGAGGAATAAAAGCTGCACCACTCGCGACCAGTCTCCGTAGCCCTACACCTCGAGTCACTAGTAGTCCATTCTCTACACTGTCCATAGGGAAAGCTAGCCGGGTACGCATTTTTATCAACACACTTGTGTTCATTCTGGCACCAGATGCAATCAGACTCTGTGCAATTCCTACAAGAAGTGTACTCAACACAAGGACTTCTGCAAGTGTCTAAAGATAAGCGCTGAGCTTGAGCCTGGATTGACCCATTCATAATATTTATGTCACGAATTTTAGGGGTAGGCTTGCACCTATCTGGACCGTTGGACCACGACCAGTGACAGTTTATATTATTATAGCAAGCTGGACAAGTGTGCAATTGAAGACACTCGACTCCAGTGTGAGCGTCGCATTCTTCTAAAGTGGTAATTCCCGCAAGAGGTGGAGCATTGGCAGTGCGTCTGCACATTTCATACACACAGCTCTTTCCGCACCACACGCAGTTGTAAGAAGTTTGGACGCAGGCAGTGCAATCAGTAAGTAATTTACAGAGTTCTTTATGTGAGGTCATTCCTCTGGGCTGAGTGTCGTCCATGCACTGCATGTATCTTCCATCGTGGACATCATCTGTTCTTAGTATGTCACGAGGAACATCAGCTACATGCAGACACCCGCTTCTCTGCTTGTCCCAGATGCACTTGGTTCCTGACCTGGAGATCAGACAAGAGTTCTGGGTTTGAGGTGTTAAATTAGAACAGCTTCCGGGGGTGTATTTTAACATGTCTGATAACATTTGGCCGTCGAATCCGCCGTATATGTACATTGATTTTTCGAAGACTGTCGCTGAGTGGCCGTACCTATAAAAAATTTTAATATTGTAAATAGATGTAAGATAAATGTAGTTTATAAGATGTAGAGTTAAAGTATTATGGTTACATTATACAACGAAAGCTAAATAGGGTTTTTTACCCACTTTTCCCTAAGAATTCACAAATATCAAATAAATACATATTGTTAACATTAATATATAAATCATTTATTTGAGAAACCCCATAAGTAATAAAATCATTAATTTATTAATTTTTCTCCGTCGATCATTTATTATATTTATAAAATAAAGTACAAAATATGCATTGGAACTAATAGGTACAGTTAACGAAAATTATAATAAATTATCTATTTTTAATTTCAAATTAGTGAACTGAGAGTCAACAATAAAACAACATTTTAATTTATCACAATCTAACTTTATAAAACTGAAATTGTAAAAATTGTTGAAATCAAAGTATTTAACAATAAATATAATGTATTTTTATTTGGTTATCATTAATTTCAAAATTTAAATCAGAGTCAACAATAAAACAACATATTTTTAAAAATTTTAATCCATTAAACAAGTATTGTAAAATTCATTAAAATTCAAGTGTTTAAAAGTGAATTTAGTTTCTAATCCATTATTTTAAGATTAAAGTCAGTGAAATCACATCTAATAATAAAAAAATAATTTTATTTAATTTTCTTAAAGCAATATGATTAAAATTGAAATATTTTGCATTCAACTGAATTTTTTCTACTCAGAAGAAGTTTAAAAAAAAAAAAAAAAAAACAGAAACTTATTTTTGGAATTTTGAGATTGAATAGTTATTCGAAAAACCCCATAAGACACTGAATTATAGGGTTTTTCAACTAAACGAGATTTATATCAACCGATTGGTTAGGTTTTGACCACGGATTTAATATTTTTTGGTGATAGTATACATGAGAGATAATTCAAAGAACCGAAAAATGCACAAAACCCGATTTCGAAAAAAATATGACTTATAGGATTTCTCAAATAAACGATTCACATATTGTTAACATTAATATGGTAATCGGAAAAAATATACTCGAAAAAAATGTTTAAATTATGAAAAATTCATATTATTTCATTAAAATTATTATAAAATAAAAATTATAATAATAATAGAAATTTAATAAATCTGAAATAATACAAAATAATATGAATTTTTCATGACTTTAAAATTTTTTCCCGGTTTATTTTTTCCGGGTCTATTTTTTCCGGGATTCTATTAATATTTATAGAGATCTAAAATAAGTTAAATCCCAACAATGGACCAGGAATTATTAATTAAAGATTTATAAGCTGATTATAACTGAAAAATGTAATTTGAAAAATATTAACAATCAATAAAAACTAATCCTCTAAGTTAAAATAAATGAAATTAAAATAAACGTTTTAAGTTAACCAAATATCGAATTATCGCAAAAATGTGGTCCTCGATTGCTTATTGGTTGAAAAATTAAGGCGCAATTTAAATTCCTAGTTTTAATTAAAAAAAAAGTGACCGTACCTTGGGAGATTAGACATCTCGGGAGGCATTGGGAAGTTGTGCCAGGCATCGCAGGTCACGTCGTAGGCGATTGTATCAGCTGAGTAGCACAGAGCGCCGTGGGAGTGGATCGTGTCGTTGTGAGTGTTGCCTCCGAAGACGATCATCAGTCCCCCGGTTATAAAGACACCCGTGTGGAAGAATCTAGCAGATGGAGCTGAAGTCAAGAGTCTCCAGACTCGGTGGTTAGGGTGGTAGGAGTAGATCCGGTTGGTTAAGCTCTGCGTGCTTTGAGATTCGGACACATATCCTCCGTAGACGTAGATGAGGTTGGTGAGGGAATCATAAGCCGCGCTGTGCCCGTAGCCACCTTTCACAGGGAACCCCACGGTCTCGACGATCTTCCACTCGCGGGTTCCGAAGGAGTACTCCTGGACGATGTTGAGATAGCCGTAGTGAGGCGAGTGTCCGAAAATTACCACCATTTTTTCGCTCTTGTCGTAACTGTGGATCAGATTGGCGGTATGGCCGGCGACTTTCAGGGGACCGCACATTGTTTTGTTGTTGCAATTGTGCCTTACTGTTACGTTCTCCCAGACTTTTGCGGATACGTCGAACGCCCATAGTTCGTTTGTTACTGTTGAATTTTTAATTACCCCGCCGTACATGTAAATTTTATCACCAAATAACACACATGAGTGCGCGTATCGCGGCGCTGGACGCATACCCTCGATGTGGGGTGTCTCCCAAACGTTTCCATTGAAATCGTAAACGTATATCATCTTGGATTTATGAAAGCTTTCACCGCCGACTACGTACAATGAGTCACGCCAAACCACTGAACAGTGACTTGCTGAGCCTTCTGGGGAAAAGTCATTGTATGATATCGTTTCCCAGTAACCACGTTCCACTCTTTGGCTACAGTCTGAACCTGTTTATTTTTTTAAATAAATTTGATTGTTATTATTAGATTTTTTTATTTTGTAATAAAAAGTTTCTTTTTTTTAAGACACAATTTTATTGATAATTTTTATTTGTTTTAAAAATAAGAGATTTTATTTTTGTTTATAATAATACTAGCAACCTTGCAGTCACTATGTGACTTCCATGACTTGAGAACTATGAATAAAAAACATTTTGCTTTATTAAATAATGACTTTTGTTAAATTGCACTGTACTTTCTTAAATATTGATGTTTTTACAGATATAAGCTCATCCCGATGTTACACTCGTCAAGAACTTTCATTTGAGTACCCACATGCATTTTTGATATATTTTTCATATATACATATATATAAATATATGAAAAATTGATGTGGGTACTCAAATGAAAGGTCTCGATGAGTGTAATGTCAGAGTGAGCTTATATCTCTAAAAATGTCAATAGTTCACAAGATACAGAGTCATTTTTTAATAATGTATCTAGAGATAGAGAATTTTCGAATGCAGCCTAATTACTTATCATAATAAATTGACTGTCGGTGAGAATGATATGAAACCGTGAAAAGGCACAAATTCAAGTCAAGACCTTTAAATTAATTTTCACTAAAAAAACCAATTTTATCATATAAATATCCTGTACACAAAATTTTCCTCATTCTCTTAATAATATAGATAATTTACAATAAAATTTTTTCTACTAAATTTTTCAACAACTACAATTAAACTTCTTCAATAAAATTGTGTCTAAATAAAGAGCTTGTAAAAAAATAATAATTCATTTAATAATAGATTTACATTTAATATTGTATGACCAGGGTCTCAATTAATGTTATTTTAATACAATTTTATTGATTGAGATAATTACACCACTACGAATTAAATAACCATGTGATAATAAAACGTCTATAAATACAATAAAGATGTAATAACACAGAATAATATAAAAAAAAAAAAAACTTAGATAATTATTACTCAATAAAATTGTGTCAAAAAAATTTTTTTTTATTTGTAATTTAATTACAAATTATAAAACTTGTTTTCAGTCTCTCCGCTCTTGCATAGAATAATTTATTTGAAATATTTCGTAAGCCCCGACATCTTTATAAATCTAATAAAAATTTAAATATTTGAGCAAAATTCTCAAGAGAGTTATTTTTATCACCATTGAATAATTTAAAAAAAAAAAACAACCAAAGAATAAAGATAAAATTTTTAAAAAGACTAATAAATAAACATTCCAAGAATTTTATAAAATATTCTATGATAAGACCGGAGTTTTTTTTTTTAATATTTTTACGATAAAAAATGCATAAATACTTAGTAATTATTTTTTTACCTTTAAATCCTGGCAAACAAATACATTGATGTCTCTCACGATCACACTCGCCTTGATTGTGATGCTGAGAGCAATTATTGGGACAAACTGGAGAATCACAGGCTTCGCCAGTCCAAGTTGCATCACAAGTGCAAACTCCCTCAATACAAACACCATTTCCTGAGCAATCTATATGCGAGTACCTTATATCCAATATAAAAGATTAATATTTTACGTAACTTAATCTTGTAACGCATAATATAAAAAAAGTAAATCAATAAAAATAAAATGAAGTTTACCTGCTAGGACAAGCATTAGTTTTATATGTAATATTAAATCCGCTCATATTATAAGCTACGTCGGAATAAAAATGTAGGAAGACGCTGCCAGATCGTGCTATTACTTCCGGAACCCGACGGATGTGGTAATCATCCTTGTGCATCAATCCGGTAAATACGCCAAGTAGCGGTGCCTCTACGCTATCGCCGTCGTATATATACAAGTGATCCCAGCCACATTCTGTCGCAAATTCTTCAATATGCATCCGAATTGAGGAATTCTGGCTGCTCTCGATCAGCCACGAGCACTTAACATCTGTCGAGTAATTCCCAGCTCCATCGTGGATGCTCCCCGACGCTGCTGTCAGTCTGAAAAATATACACACCTCCTTATTTATTCTTCTTTACATTAACTTTGTATCTACCAAGACATTTAAATATTCTATACGTGTCATAAGTCCTTTTTTTTTTTTTTTTTTTCTTTTTTACTATGAACAAGTATACTGATAAATTATTTAATCACTATTTGCAATACAAATTATTTTTAAAGGTATAAAAATTTTTTTTTTCACTAATAAATTACTAAGAAATATTTAAATAAATTTTTTAATAATTTATCAGTTGAAAAAATCATTAAAAATATTCGTTGATTTTGTGAAAATAAAATTAGCACAGCTGACAATTTTCAGAAGTTTTTTTAACAATGGAATTATTACAAAAAAAATAAAAGAAAAAATTGCACATGTTAAAAAATTGAAAAACTATATGTGCAATTTTTTTTATTACTAATTTAATTTAATTTGTTCGCTGTCGGCTAATTTTAGTTTCATATTAATTTTTTATGAAAATAAAGCTAGCTGAGATTTAAAAAAAGTTTAGAATTTATTTATTATTGAAAAAACTACTACAAAAAAAATAAAATAAAAATTTAATTTGTAGAAAACTTGAAAAACTATAAGTGCAATTTTTTAAAAATATTTTTAAGTTCTAATTTAATAAATAAAAAAAAATTAAAAACGTCGGCTAATTTTAGTATTATTTTTAGTTTCATCTTAATTTTTTTAATTATAATACTCCTTCTGGTCTCTATGCACAGGTGTAACCCACCTCTATAGAACTATTTCCAGAAGTAAAATAAATAAATAAAATAAAAATAAAAAAAAATAAAATAATTTTTTTTTTTATTTTCAAAAAAATTCTGTGATATGTCGTATAATTATTGACAAATAAATGTAAGATGAAAATGTTAGAGCTGGTAATTGTTATAAATAAAAACCAGTGGCTCCAAATTTTATTTAGAGTAAATAAATCGAAATTGATGATGAATAATGTATCAGATAGCAAATAAAATAGACTGCAAATAAAAATTACAAAAAAAAAAATTCCTCATACAAAAAATTTGAAAAACTATACGTGCAATTTTTTAAAAATATTTTTTTAGTTCTAATTTAATAAATTAAGCCAAAAAAAAATCAAAAGTGTCAGCTAATTTTTTTTTCCATAATTTATTTGTTAAAAACATTACAAAAATTATTAAATATCTGCTAAATTAATTCTTATAATAAAATTTAGACCCGCTGGATTTATGAAAATTAAGTTAGCCGACATTTAAAAAGTTTTTTATTGCTAAAAAATTAACATGGAACTAAAATTAGCCAGCGAAAAATTTTTATTTTTTTATTATCAATTGAATTAGCAACAAAAAAATATTTTTAAAAAATTGCACGTATAGTTTTTCAAATTTTTTGTATGAGGAATTTTTTTTTTGTAATTTTTATTTGCAGTCTATTTTATTTGCTATCTGATACATTATTCATCATCAATTTCGATTTATTTACTCTAAATAAAATTTGGAGCCACTGGTTTTTATTTATAACAATTACCAGCTCTAACATTTTCATCTTACATTTATTTGTCAATAATTATACGACATATCACAGAATTTTTTTGAAAATAAAAAAAAAAATTATTTTATTTTTTTTTATTTTTATTTTATTTATTTATTTTACTTCTGGAAATAGTTCTATAGAGGTGGGTTACACCTGTGCATAGAGACCAGAAGGAGTATTATAATTAAAAAAATTAAGATGAAACTAAAAATAATACTAAAATTAGCCGACGTTTTTAATTTTTTTTTATTTATTAAATTAGAACTTAAAAATATTTTTAAAAAATTGCACTTATAGTTTTTCAAGTTTTTAACAAGTGAAATTTTTTTTTAATCATTTTTTCAATAAAAAAAATTCTAAAAACTTTTAAATGACTTAATTTTCATAAAAAATTGAAAGATACTAAAATTAGCAGACGTCTAAAAATTTTTTATTTTTTTTTATTAATTAAATTACAACTAAAAAGATATTAAAAAAAATGCACTCATAGTTTTTCAAATTTCCTACAATTGAATTTTTTTTTTTTTAATCATTTAAATGAAATTTTTTCAATAAAAAATTTCTAAAAATGTAGAAATTTAAAAAACTAAAAAATACAATTTTTTAAAAATGATTTTTCAGAAAAAATTTATGTGAAATAAAATTAAAAAATGATCAAGTGGCTGTTAAAACTTAAGTGTCATAATTTTATTTAGAGTCTAAATAAATCGAAATTGGTGATGAATAAATAAATAAATTATCAAAGCCAAATAAAATAAATGGACTGTTGGTAGAGTGTGAATGTGTGCTAACGGGTGTGATGTTAATGATTGACATAACGGGAAGTTAAACCTGAAATAATAAAAATAATAATATTATTAACATTAAATAAATGAGTTTACCTGATTTTTCCACTGCAGTACTGACAAGCAGAACCTTGCCAGCCATCATGACAGACACAACTACCATTGACACAATTACCGTTGACACAATTGTTGGAATCGCATGTTGATTCTGATGAGGATGAGGACGAAGAAGAAGACGATGATGCTGTCGCTGTGCTCCATAGCACCGCGACCCACAATAAAACTATCCATAAAAACATACACGGTATACCAGACACCAGTTTGCTCCTGTTATCATTTCTCCAGGGGTTTTTCCTGCGGTATTTTGATTTATATAGAAATAGAAACATCTGCATGACTTCTGCCATTTTGGTAGGCTTCCATGTCCGATGAGACAATGGCCGATGGCGGCGCAAGACACCTCTTGCAATCACACACCTCTACTCACTTGGCTGGTGAAAAAGAGAATGCGGTCTCGCTCCCTGCTTCGATGATCCGACCCGACCGCTTTCCAACCGCTCACCGACGATAGTACAATACTCAACAGTCAACACACACGTCGCTGTACACCGCCACCATCCAGACCAATGGACACTCCAATTGTCTCCTGTCTGCTCACTACTACTTAGTACTTATATATATGTTATATGTACTCTCTATTCTCCTTTTCACGTTTTTCTCTGTCTCTACCATCTACATATGGAGGGCAGAGACGAGGAGAATGTCTTATATGGGGAGAACTTTAAAGATGTCCAGCTGTAGGCAGAAAATTACAACTTTTAAACTCACCGGAATAGCGCTAGTGTAGCTAAAGCTAAAGCTGGAGAGAATGATGTGAATTTAGCAGATTTTTAATGGAGTGAAGTAGGCTGTTTTTTAATTAAATACTTGAGTTTATAAAACCTCAATTACTTACGTAGTCTAGAAAATTTTTATTTGAAAAAGTTGCAGCGCTAATCATAATAATTGGGACAATGCAAGATGATTTTGTTGATATTGTTAATTTTTTAGGTTTTTATAAAAATTGAATAATTGATGATATTAAATTTGAAACTTTCTTGATAATTTTTTTAATTTTATTATTTAATAATAAAATTTCAATATTATTATTATTAAGAGAATAAGCAAAATTTTGTGGCCAGTGTATTTATATAATAAAATGTGCCTTTTCATGATTTCATATTATTCTCTATTATAATGAGTAGGGCTGAGTTTAAAAATGCTCTATTTCTAGATACATTATTAAGAAATGACCTTGTATCTTGTGAACTATGGACACTTTTGAAGATATAAGCTCATCCTGATGTTACACTCATCAAGACCTTTCATTTGAGTACCCACATCAATTTTTCATATATTTACATATATTATATATATGTATATATGAAAATGCATGTGGGTACTCAAATGAAAGCTCTTGATGAGGGTAACATCAAGATGAGCTTATATCTTTAAAAAGGTCAGTAGTTAAGAAAGTACAGTGCAATTTAACAAATATCGTGTGAAATATTGATATTTTTAAAGATATAAGCTCATCCCGATGTTACACTCATCAAGACCTTTTATTTAAGTACCCACATCAATTTTTCATATATTTATATATATCATATATATGTATACATGAAAAATATATGAAAATGCATGTGGGTACTCAAATGAAAGCTCTTGATGAGTGTAACATCAGGATGAGCTTATATCTTTAAAAAGGTCAGTAGTTAAGAAAGTACAGTGCAATTTAACAAATATCGTGTGAAATATTGATATTTTTAAAGATATAAGCTCATCCCGATGTTACACTCATCAAGACCTTTCATTTAAGTACCCACATCAATTTTTCATATATTTATATATATCATATATATGTATATATGAAAAATATATGAAAATGCATGTGGGTACTCAAATGAAAGCTCTTGATGAGTGTAACATCAGAATGAGCTTATATCCTTAAAAACGTCAATATTTAAGAAAGTACAGTGCAATCTAACAAAAGTTACTATTTAATAAAGCAAAATTTTATTCATTTATAGTTCACAAGTCACGGCAGTTACATAGTGACTGTAAGGTTGCTACTTTTTATAATTGATTTGTAATAAAAATAAAAGAAAGATATCAGATGTCTGTTGATTTAATTTTTATCAATCCAAGACCTATCACGCTCTAAATACCTAACTTTCGTTTCATACAATAATATCACGTACAAAAATGTTATTTTTGAAAAATTCTTAGGTGATGAATATTTTTTTTTAATAATTTTTGTCCTACTCCAAGTAACTTTTGGCGCTAACTTTAAAATTCACATTTTCATTGAAGAACTATCACCTAGTGGCCAGAATTGAAATTAAACGGACTACAAAAATTCTTAGCCAATCAAATTATCCCCGACTTCATTTTAAAAAAATAATTTTTAAATAAATTGAATATTTAACAAGAAAAATTAATTAAAATATCAATTATCAAAATAAAAATATTTGAATAACAAAAGTAGCATTAAAATAAAACCCTAAGTTTATTTTTTAATTACAAAAAAAAAAAAAATAAATTTTTATTCCAAAAATAGAGTAAAAAAAAAATTTTTTTTTTCTTAAAAAATAAATTCTGTTAATTAAATAAAATTATTAAAAATTGTAATTTTCATAATTTATTAAAAATAATTGCGCGCGCATGCATGAACGTAGACTTGGGGTGCCGCGGAATAATCGAAATACGAAACAAACGACGGTACTCTACAGTACGAAGTTGATCGCGCTGTCAAACTGATTCTTCCGATGAATAATAAATTTTCAATAATAATAAATTAAAATTAACTATCAATTAATTAGTGCGTTAATTACCGTGTTCTTATAATTATCAAGTGATTTCCAAAAAAAACAATGATTTAATAAAATATTTCAATAGCTTCAAGGTATGTCGGAGAATCATTAAAAAAATAAAAAAACTAAATTATTACTACTCACAAAAAGTAATAAAATGTTTGTTGATAGTGAAGAAATGATCGGACCGTCTTCAGAAATGAGTAATGAATCCGAGACAGTGCGGGGGAAACGTCGGACCTTTGACGAGCTGGACATCGATAGTTTCTGCGAAGAAATCTGCCAGTCCACGAAGAAACACCACTCAATGGAGCTAAATGACGACCCGATGGACATAAGTGTGGCTACTTCTTCTTTTCCGCTTATCGCTTCAATCCAGGAGCCTTCTTCTAACCCTGGATCCGTCGCTCGGCTGGAAGTTCTCGTCGTCGACGGCACCTGGGACATGGAGAACTTCGAAAAGTCGGACTTTATCCAGCTTGAGTCCTCGGATATTATTGAACCTGAAATTTTAAACGACGGTCAGAATATTACTGGGGATTTTGAAACTGTTCTTTCTTACTGGGAAGTTCCTGAGGAACAAGTCAAAGTTAATAGTATTAATAACAATAATAAGAATAATAATAACAATAATAATAAAAATAATAATAACAGTAATCGTAACAATATGAATAATTTTTATCAAAATTCTGTTAATAAAAGTAACAGGAATTTTAATGATAACAATCAGTTGGATGAAGAAGACGGCAATCTTTCCTGGTTATTGGATTTTAAACTTGACTCTTTAATTGAAGCACCTGATGACAAAATAATTACCAGTGCGTACAATTTTGTTTTTTTATTTTTGATTAATTATTTTAAGAGAAAATTTATTTTTTTTTTAATTATGAGAAATTGTCAGACATTTGAAAATTTTTTTTTAATATTAAACCAGGTCTAGAAAATTATTGAAAAAGTAAGACTTGGAATTTTTTAATTTTTTTAGAATATTTAAGGATTGAATTTTTTTAATAAATTTGGTAATTATTTACCAGTTTAATTTACATTTTTTTGTAAAAATTTTGATATATTTTTTTTTAAATACATAAAAAAATGAACAATTAAAAAAAAAGTTGGTAATCACAATTTTAGTAAATTTTACAGATTTTCAAAAAAATTTATAAATTCTTTAGAAAATTGTGATATTCAATTTTTTTAATTGTTTGTTAAAAATAAAAAAAAAAAAAATCAGAAAGAGATACAATAGAAATTTTATCCAAAAACATGAGACCCAAAATTTTTTTAAAATTTTGAAGGTAAAAATTCCATCAAAATCTTTATTTTTTCTTCTTTCACGATATTTTTTATCATAAATGTTTCGTAAAAACAAGCAGAATAAAGAAAAAATTAAAAAATGTTAATTTTACACTTAAATATGGCCAAAAATAGGGTCATCCATTTTAATTTTCATTTTTTTAAACGAAATTTCTATTAGATTTTATTGATAAATATTTTTTTTTAATTGTTTGTTTGTTTATATACTTTAAAAAAAAAGTATCAAAAAAAAATAAACTAAAAGTTTTATTCAAAAACAAGAGAGCCAAAATTTTTTCCATTTTTTAAATGCAAAAAATGTATCAAAATCTTTATTTTTTTCTTTTACGATATTTTATATCATAAAAATAAAAAATTTTAATTTTTTATCTAAATATACCCAAAAATAGACTTTACCCCACTTGTAAATAATTACCATAAATTTTTCTAGCTATAATTTATTAGTTAAAAAAAATTCTAAAAATTATTAGATGTCTCTTATTATTAAAAAAAAATTAAAAAATTAATTTATTGAAATTTTTAACCAATTTTATTTTACTGAAGTAAAAAATTTTCTAGATTTTTATTAAGAATTCTTAAGTTTATTCAAATTTTTTTTTTTAAATAAAACAAAAAAGTTCCTTTAAAAAATTTTAACTGAGAAATAAAATTATTTGAAATTTTAAACAAATAAATTTCTCATAATTTTTGTCAAAATAAATTTTTTTTTAAGAGTACAATTAATTGAAATGAATTTTTTTAGCAACCAAAAGCCGACAACCATTCAATTGCTCGGACAACGCATCAATGTACCAAAGCTTAAAGAAAAGTCTCGCTGATGAATCAGTACAAAAACAACCAAGTGTTCCCAGCGGGTTGTTAAACAATCCCAAGTACTCGGAGCGTTATGGCGGGCTGAAGAAACCGCCGTTTACATACACTGAGCTAATAGAACACGCTTTGCAAGAACGGGGTGAATTGACAGTATCAGCAATTTATCAATGGATATCGTGAGTGTTTTTATGGGAGAAATGTAAATATTTAGTGTTTAGTATTAAGTATTAAGTATTGAATTGTTAAAAGCATCGAATGTATTGCTGAGCATCGGTATAAAATTATAGATCGGGTGATTTAAGATAGTTGGGGTGCAGGCTATTGAGTGGTACCTGCTGGTACCATTGTCCGTGATAGGTGGTGGTACCAAGCCGTACCACTTACCCTCGTACCCTCTATCCACTTTACTTGCCGCACTATTGAGCTCTCGGGCCTTTAATTTTAAGACACGAGACAATATTTATGTATTTGTTTTTTATCATTTTCTTCCGGTAAAAATATTATCTCAAATTATCATCGCTGCTTAATATGATGTCTTACTCTTGTTGGAATAATTTCTGTTCCTTCTACTTCGTTATCTTCTTTTATATTAGTTTCGGAAGAAGTAAAAATTTTTGTAAATTGGCTCGCAGTCGAGCGTGCGAACGCCAGCCAGGTGAAGTAAATTACTTAGAAGGGAGGGTTGAGAATTGTTTTGCAATTGAAATTTTGAGTTTGTCAATTGAAACGATTATTTAGTAAATACTTCCTGGGAAATAAATTTATGGGTGGTTAATTTTTAGGTTTAGAATTTTTTTAATTTTTGTATTTTTTTTTTTTATTTGTTTTTATAGAGAACATTTTCCGTACTACAAAAGCAATGATGACCGCTGGAAAAATTCGGTGAGACACAACTTATCGATCAACCCTCACTTTCGAAAAGGATCTAAAGCGCCTCATGGCGCAGGACATCTTTGGACAATCGCTAATCGAAACGAAATGCGACCTCGGCCTTTGCTGACAAATATACCTGGGATTTCGGGGAGACAGAGCAAAAATATTGCTGAAAATGACGCTAGGTATAAAATATATATTCATACTTAAATTTTAATTAAGAAATTTTTATTTAGATTGCATTCGAAAATGCTCGATCTTTAGATACATAATTAAGAAATTACCTTATATCTTGGGAACTATTGAGATTTTTAAAGATATAAGCTCATCCCGATGTTACACTCATCGAGACCTTTCATTTGAGTACCCACATCAATTTTTCATATATTTCACATATTTATATATATGAATATATGAAAAATATATGAAAGTGCATGTGGATACTCAAATGAAAGCTCTTGATAAGTGTAACATCGGGATGAGCTTATATCTATAAAAAGGTCAATAGTTAAAAAGGTACAGTGCAATTTCACAAATATCTTGAGAAATATTGACATTTACAAAGATATAAGCTCATGCTAAAGTTACATTCATCAAGACCTTTCATTTGAGTAACCACATCAATTTTTCATATATTTATATATATTACATATATGTATATATGAAAAATATATAAAAAATGCATGTGGGTACTCAAATGAAAGCTCTCGATGAGTGTAACGTTAAGATGAGCTTATATCTTTAAAAACTTCAATATTTAA